CAGTCTGACCACAGATTAAATTAAAACAGGCTGTTGCTAGCATGAAGACTAGAATAAGGATTAAGGAGACCAAACTTCGCTTCTAATAACGTCCTGAAATGAATCGCAAGATCATAGGCTGCGCTGCGTACGCGAAGGTTGCTACTTTAACCCGCGTAGTATAGGAATTATTCTTGTTCCTTGGAAAATATATGCATAATTTTGAACTATGTCCAGGCACGTCGTCAAGGGGGGGGGGGGGTCAAGGGGCCTGCCCCCCTAAGAAAAGTAGTGGCCCCGAACTGGCCCCATTGATTTTGATTTTTAAATATTATGGTGTTTAATTATCCCAAACCTGCTAAATCCTAAATGTATATTATATGGTACCTCCATATAGTTAACGATCGTATAACAAAAACTAAATTCCGAGATCCTATTTGATAAAATATTAAAATATATTCGTCACTCGACAATTTGAAATGAGACAATAATACGTATAGATTGAAAACTAGCAATTCCAAATACGGGTATCGTCGTATCGAATGCACATTTGATAAACACAGACAATACTATAATATAATAGTGAACCAATAAAATAAAATAAACAAGCCTAACAAAATAATATGTCCCGATATAATAATATAATATAATATTCTTTATCGAGTTTGAGTATTGATCACGCAGCGTCCTAACGTCGTCGCAGACTCGCAGTATATATAATACATTGTATACCTATATATATTGTATAGGTATACCTAATACCTAGTATATACAGTTCATATTGTTCACAATATGCACAAGTGTAAGAACCAATAAATAATGAAGAGAGATTTAATAAGTTATTTTAATAACCCAAAAAACTCAAGAACCAAGAAAGGTAAGTACAATAATTGTACATACCTTCGATAAATATTATCTACCCTAGTCTTATTTACCTACATTTTATATTTACTAATTATTGTAGTTATTTATTTATTAGTTAATAATAGGTATATTAATGTATAATTTTCGATATTCTAACATTAGATAGGTAGTAGGTACCTACATATTAATCTGTATTAATTAATAGATTAATATTATTTAGCCATTAGGTACCTACTACATATTTTAAATTTTTAAGACATTTTATACTATAATATTGTTGATAAAGTTAAGTAGGTATCTATTTTCTTTATTTTTATTATTAAAATATAATTATTTATATTGTTTTAGTGCATTAAAATGTGTACACTATTATCTCACACTATCTGTATAAAGTATAATAATATAGTAAATTATATTCTATCGAAGCAGGGGCGTATTTATTTCTGGACTTTTGGTATTTAGTGACTACATTATTTTCATAAATTGTTTTAATTAAATAATGATTTTATTCATGAAATTTTGATTTACCTAATGGCTAATTGATAATATTATAAATAATTTTTCATACTAAAAAGTAGGTAGGTACCTATTTATTATATTTTTATTATTGTTTATATTAATGTATAAAAAAATATAATGCTTAACAAATACAGACAATATATTGTGAAATCTGGTATTTTTTATGGATATGTCGGATAAGGAAATGAGTGGTATTGGGTATAAAAAACAGAATGGGGCCAAAAAATGTTGGCCCCCTTAAAAAAAAAGTCGGGTTACGTGCCTGACCATGACCCTCTTTAGATTTTATAACTTGTACCTACGATTACGCATTTATACAGTTTTTGGAACTTACTCATATTAATTATTTAAGAACAAAAGAACAATGGTGCAATCAGAATTTGTAGGTCGGACTTAGTTTCGAAGTTATGGCCTAATGAAGTTCACTATTTTGCGATTTTTAATCATGAGCGCGTAGTAGGTAGTTCGTCGAAATAATGCTTCGATTTTCAACTTCAGTATCTTGTTCGATGGGAAAGTGAATCTAGTTGGTACAATGTTTTAAATTCAGAGTAATTTTTAAAATCACCGTGAAAAACAAAAAAAAAAATAAGGAATACCGGGAATTTTTCGGCAAAATCGATTATTATAAACAAAATCTCTTTGGTTTTTGGTGTAACTCTATAACCAATCAGTAATCACCGTGGGTACATAATATTTCCAATGGTTGGTTTATATTAGCTTTTTCTAAACACGTTAAACTGTTTATGGACATTTTCATTTTCCAATATTTTTAGTTTTTTTTTATGAATGTCAATAAAATTGTATTATAAATTATTATAAATTTATTTGTTGGGTAAAAAAGCTTGAAAATTGAATACGAGGATCCTAATACATTGTTACAGTAGTAGTTGAAAAATATAAAAAATACATAGTCACAATTTCTTTTATAAGAATTTAAAGTTGATATCTTGAGAAAATACGTAAAAATCACGAAAATGTGCAGATTATTTAGTGTAAGAAATTCATAAATATTTGTCCTTTTTAAATTGAAAATGTAATACAACAATAAAATAATAATACAGTAATAAAATGAAAAGATTCCTCGTAAGTTTATCTTATTTCATAAAAAAAAGTCTCTACCGGAAAGTCAAATATATACACCATCGAGTTTTGAAAATATTTTGACTTTTTTTGAGCTGTTTACGGACAATGACAGTTTTCAATTTTTTTAGTTTTTTTTTTCTATAATTTTAAATTAAATTTTATTTGTTTGGTAAAAAAACGTGAAAATTGTATACAAGGCTCCTGATACATTGTTACAATAGCAGTTGAAACATATTAAAAATACATAAGCACAATTTGTATTTATTATGTTTGATTTTTGACAAGATTTATCAAATTAAAATTTAATAATTATTTTGTAGTTAAAGATTTATAAAATATTCAACTTTTATATTATAAATATTTAACTTTTATAAGGATGGAAAATTTAAAACAAGGTCCTGCGTAAATAGGTATAAGGTCCTGCGTATTATATAAATTACTTTATTCACAATAATATCATCAAGTACCTATACTTGTATACTTAGTAATATCATTAGGCTGACTGACCGTTTTCGTTCAGAATCGTTTTTCTTATACAATGATATTATATCATTGAATTCAAATTTAACACAATCCATTGCAGTGACCCACTTGTAACCTACTGTACAACAGAGCAGTGGCGTTGCCAGAATTCTTTTTCGGGGGGCTGATCAATTTTTACACTTTTATACATTAAATAAGTACTACCACAGATAGATAGCTAAAAAGTGTTAATACTTATAGGTAAATTTTTAAATATTTTAAATATAATGCAAGACTTTTTGAGCGACTTTCATAGACCATAAAAATAATTTTTAAATTTTCTTAACATTTCGGGAGAGGGGGGGCTCTCAGCCCCTCCCTTGGCTACGCCACTGCAACAGAGTGACACCCACTTGCCCACCTTTTTTTTTTAGATTTATTTACTAGTTTGAATGTTACCTTAGGCTTAACCTATCTTATTTTAAATTTTGATATCAATACCAATGGTTTTGAAAAATAAGTTTTCTATATGACTGCAGTTGTGTGAAGTGGTATTTTTGAAGTGTAGAAGTCAAGTGTTGGGATATTTTTAAAAGGTAGATATTATAAAACGAAAGAGGTTTCAGTGAGTTTGAGATGTTTGAGTTGTCACATAGTTTGATGTACATAATATATGTGTCCATTATTTTAACTTGTTCCTTCGATGATCTTGGTCTGGGGGAGGTTCTAAATATTTGAAAAGTCATTAGGTATTTAAGAGATTGATTTGCTGTGTACTTAAGGATTTCTTTGTTTCTTCTAATCTGCATCGCCCGCAATTCAAAAGATGTTGGGTTCTAGGAACTAGACTTGTGCAAAACACTCCTAAGAAAAGTCTGATTCCTTCATTTTAAATAGGGCCAATAATACTTAAAGATGTTGGTATTTGCTGAATTGTAGATTAAAAAAACGTAATCGGTTTTTAATTAGACGAGAGATCTGTATATGGTGTGAAGGCTTTTTTTCTGAGCCACACGTTTATGACGAGAGAGATTATTTTCATTCTGTTTTTACATTCAATTTAGTGTTTCTTAAACCGAAGGTAGGTACTTGAAATTATCACCAAGACACCCAATGTATATTTATTATCACTTTCTATACATGGTAAAATTCTCAAAATATTTTGACTTGTTTTGATCAAGATAGGTAAGGACTTTTTCAATTGTATTAGTTTTTTTTCTATAAAACATGTTACCTAATACAAATTGTTTGTTGAGTCGAAATCAATCCTATCAAATCTAACCTTGGGGGGAACCCTCTTAACCATCAGTACGATAAGCGTCGACAGCGCTCCCAGTGTTAATTTGTTTTGCCAATAAATCAGCTGCTTGGAGCAACGACGATGTAAATGTAAGTGCGACAGAGACAACTTGTATGGGAGTGACTCGTTACTCCTTAGTCGTTAATGTTTAAAAAAAAAACTGATGTCTTCGGCTCCGAGGTCACGATTCAAGGAGCATTCACAGCTACGTCGTGTGTAGTAGTGTAGTGTCATGCGAGGGCTTGGTTATTATATGGTAAATGGTTACGACTGGTAACTAATATGGTTTATAAGTTGCGCCGTAGTCAATTCTTGGTATACTCGGTTGCACCTTGGTTATTACATGATACCAAAAAACTAATATCCAATCACAATACGATTTGATCGACATCTCACGACACACGACGCAGCAGTGAAGTCGTGAAGATATTATCGTCTATGGATGTTCACATCGGGATTCGGGAGCCTAAAGGTACCGTTACAATTATTATATATTTATGATAATATTATAGCCTTTGTAGATGAATTAACTCAGTGCTATCTTGGTAGTTTATTTTTTTTGTTACAATTTAGATTTTACATCTTATGCTTATTTCAGGTGCATTCTGTCGGCGATTATAATATAAGACGTCCCACCGCAATTAAAGTAAATCATTTGTGATAGTGCTATAGAACGGGAAAAATACCAACTCCGTTGCTGTTTATAACTATTTCAGTGTGCGAATTTACCAACCTCGTGTAAATACTGTACACATACGTTTTACACTTAAATATTATCCTCCGCACCACCATGAGCCAACAAAAGGTGAGCGATAAACATAATAATATTATTTACACACAATATACCTATTACCTACCGACTACACAACTCGAATACATAGGCGCCATTTGGGCTAAATTTATGGGGGTGCTAGATTTATGTGGACCAAAGTAACCCGTGGGGGGCTTCGCCCCCCACACCCCCCTCATAACACCATTCGCATGCATTCATAATACTACCTGATTAATCAATAATTATTAATATTTGAAAAATAAATATATAATACAGGTAAATACGTTTTTTATTTTCATTTAAATATTATACTAAAGATATACCTTTGAGACATAGCAAAATTATTTATTATTTTATCTTTATAAATTTTATTGCTTAGATCTCTCTCATATCATTCCTAGAATGTTAAAAAGGCAATGGCCAAGAGATCTCCTCAACAAATAACTAAAAAAAAACAAAAAAAAAAAAAAAAAAAAACATTAATTAAATAAACTCATACCCTAATTTCTGGTCAGGTGGCACTGCTGGGAGCCTTCCTTCTCTTGTTACTTTTTTTTTTACATATTACTTATTACTTTGTCACCACACTTACTTATTATACACTTATGTATAGATTGTAAATATACTTTATTTTAATAAAAAAAAAAAGATCTCTCTCAATATTAATAACTGACAAATCTGTAAATTTTGACTGTTCCATGCTTGTCCTAAGCTAATTCTTTATTCGGCGCATAGATGAAAAAGACCTTTCACAAGTAGCTGAGCTTATAGGAATAGCTAATCCTACTTGAATAAGTTTAAACAAGTTTGGAAAAACATCTTCAGTCACCACTATCTTTATTCCAAGTATATAAAAATCCAAATTTCCATTTTGTAAACAATTTTTTGTCAGCAACATTTCTGCTTTCAATGATGTTAAATCAATATTCACAACATCCTGAAATTATATTATCCTCAAATGATTATTTTATTTACAAAATTAACCTACATTACATTAATCACAACAATATATTATATTCATGGTTGTTAGGTACCTATTTATAATTATTACGAATTCAATTAATGAGTTATTATTATTTAGTTTATAAATAATTTACTAGTTACGAACCTTGTAATTATTGATGAAATATGAACCTTTTTCAAAATCGATTTTCATAAACTAGTCTAATGAGTTAGCTAAAACTAAACTTTCATCCGAAAAACGGTATTTTATATTATTATTTATTATTATTATTATTATTATTATATAAGTCAAATCTTAGAAATTAATTTATCCTGTTGTCTATGACATAATACGTGTATAACCAATAACAATTAAATGATGCTGTTAAAAATTTGGGGGTGCTAATATGAATTTTGGGGCTGCTAAGCACTCCCCAAATTGCGCCTATGCTCGAATATTAATTTTAAAGCACTAAGTGTTTTACATATCGGATAAAATGATATTAAATGTATCGTTTCTCGTTAGCATACCTACCTTATCATATCATATTCTCAGTATTTCATGTTAAATATTCAAAATAATATAGTCTTGCAAGTTCCGAAACATGTACCTATTGTTGTAATTTTTATTACAACACAATATTAAATTTAATCAAACAATTCATTCATTGTTATATTTTATTTTTCACATTAAATAATAATTTGATAGTTTTAATCAATAATATTCATTATTCTCTATTTTTACTGTTGAAAAAATAATTCATTGCCAAGAAGGATAAACATTAAACACTCCAAATCTATAAATTTAACAATATTTTGGAGTAGAAACAACAACAAAATCAGTTCATAATGAATCAAGCTTATGTCTTAACTATTGCCTTAACCTACCTACTTAACATTATAATAATAATAATTATATTATTGTTTTTTTTTTTTTTTTTTTGAGGGAGGGTTGGGGGTGAAATAGTTTTTATTTTTTTCTTAATTTTTTAACCAAAAGTTAGAAGTTTTGAAACCTGCCCCCCCCCCCTCAAAGGCATACTCACAATTAGTATAATTATTTGTGAATGCTTGTTTTAGGCAGTAATGGTACTATTTGGCACAATATAAACAATACTTATACATTTAATTGGTACTATTTATGATGTAGGATAGAGTGAGAGAGTGTTGAACATTGTTCAATGATATTTTTGGAAATGTTTGTTAATTAGGCACATACCTACATTACACGCGCCCTAGTTGTACATATACTATATTACTATATTATAATATAGAATAAAGTTTGCTTCTTTTATTTTTCGCTACCATATAATATGAGTCAGTATTTTAGTATTTTAGTTCACTATTTTATGAAAACAAATTGTGCACTCTGATTCGCCATGCATTTTTCCTTATTTCCTTATAATACAACATTATAATTTTTCTATAATTCACATAGGTACCTACAATAAAACAGTAAACACACAATAGGTACCCACACATAATACATTTTTACAATTCATTCTTTATAGGTACTTATTTTTTTTCCCCCCCAATATTTCATACTTCCTGAAGAATATTGTAAATATACCTAACATGAAAGTCGTAAATTAAATAGGTTTTCTCTGTTGATATTTTAAATACATATAATTATAAAATGTTCTTACCATGGTTCTTACCTACTATGATAATTTTTTAGTATTGGTATAAATGATATAATTCATTCAAATTTGTTATTGTCATTAAAAATGATTTTTTGTATTATACTATTTAAGTTATCACCTAAAATCAACCTAAAAAGATGTGAATAAAATATCAATAAATATATTAAGTATAAAGTAATATTAATTATTATATTATAGGTAATACGATACAATTTTCAGATTTGATTATCTTTACTCACAAAATATAATGCATTAATGTCTACCTACCAAATTGTCATAAGTATTCTTAACATTTTAATAAACTTTAATTTGAACATTTCAAAACACATTAATTACTCATAAGACAGTAGGTGCACTAGTAAGTTGCATGCATATGAGTATCGAGTGATACAAAATATAGATAATTTCATTGATTATGAATACTCAATGATATTTTATGTACCTATATATATGTATAATTCCAAAACTAAATTCTAACTAACCATTAAACATATTTTGTATTTTTAGGCTGTTGTCATTCTATTATTGAATGTATTTTTAACATCATATGTCTGTGCCCAATATGGTAGTCCTGCTGGCAATAGCAATCCTGAATACGGTGGTACAGGTACCAGTGTACCATCAGGAAGTTATGAACACAAAGGACAAAATCCCGTCGGGGGACCTAGTGTATTAGATGGAAATTCGGAAGTAAGTTCTATGTTTATATACACATTGTTTTTTAATACAAACTATATTTTCACAAGAAGTTGTTACTATTAGTATAAGCAAGTATGGGCAAGTTAATGTTTTTTTTTAACTCAGTTAAGTTAAGTAAATATGCACCAATAACAAAAAGTTAAAAGTTACAAGTTAGTTTAACCATAGGTAAACTCAGTTAAAAGTTAATACACACTTTTTCTTAAATTTTTCTTAAGTTAAAAAAAGTTATTTTGTTAATTCAACGCTAGTATACTTAATTTTTTACCAATCCTAAACTAAATTGTAGACCATAGTGTTTATACTTTTTACAATTCAAATTTTTAAACAATTCAAGGTAAATATTTTAGACATAACAAACGAAGTAGACTGAAAAAGTGAAATGTAATAATAAAATTTAAAACAAATTAAATTTACTTAACTAACTAATTCATTAATTACACGTTAATTAAAAATATATTTAGTAAGTTAAAAGTTAAGTTAATGAAAATCCAAAAGTAACTAGTTAAGTTAAAACATTAAAATAAAATTGACTTTTTAACTAAATTCCCAGCCTTGGGTATAACTAATTGTAATTTTGCATAATGCTAATAAATTTCATAACAAAGAATTAATATGTTATTAATATGTTAATATCAAAATTGTTATTATTATAGGTAGTAAATTAGTTAACTACCTATAAACAATGGTGTCAGCATTATGGTATTACCTATATTCAAATTATAGATAGGAATATTCTTAATTGAATGAATTAAGTACACCAATAAAATTTTTAATTACCATAATTCATTGAACATAATAAATACCCCCATTAGTGTTTCCCCCTTTCTTTAAAAGGCATAGTTTATTGAAATTAGTTTAAAATTTTCAATATCTAGTAATAAACTTTAAATTAAACTATTAATAAGTAATTACTTAAAAATTTATTACAACTTACAATTCCATATAATTACTATTACTTATAAATTATTACATTAAAATATATATTTTTTTTATTCCTGTTAGTTATAAGTTATAACGTATTGTAATTTTGTACTAGGTAGACAAAAGTACGAATGTAAAGATAATATTTTGTTAATCGTAAAGTTTGACGTTATAAACTAAGATTTTAAAACATCTTATTATAACAACTATACTTTAACAAAATGTACAGTATTAAAATCAATTTATCCAATCATAGAAAAACTAGTATTAATATTATAATAGGTTTATAATTATTAAAGATATTCTACACAAATTGTATTTGACTTAAATTGAAATGACTTCAATAAAGGGTTTGATACCAATGAATACTTTGATGTGTACAAACAAAAGTGACAAACAAATCAGTTTTAAGTTATAATTAGGAATTTAGATACAGTCATAGGTATTAAATTATTAACCTATTGACATTAGTACTAAAAACTAGAGTTATTAGATAATTATTAATTATATTGACTGAACAATATTTTTGTCTGTGTAAATGTAGGCCGAGCCGTTCAACTTTGCTTACCAAGTAGAAGATGCACCCACCAATACAGACTTCAAGCACGAAGCCAACAGTGACGGCAAACGAGTGACCGGAGCATACAGCGTACTTCTTCCTGACGGTCGTAATCAAGTAGTGACATATGTTGCCGACGAAAATGGTTACAACGCCAAGGTCAACTATGAACGAGTAGCAAAACCACAACCATCTCAACCAGGCAGCCAAGGAGGATATCCGTCCGCACCAGGTTTCCCTTCTGCTGCTCCTAGTTATCCTTCCGCTGCCCCTGGTTATCCTTCCGCGGCCGCCCCTGTATATTCTTCTGCAGCTGATCTTGGTTATCCTTCCTCAGCACCTGGTTTCCCTTCTTCAGCTCTAGGCGGTTACCCATCGTCTGCCTCAAGCTATCCTTCATCGGTACCGGGTTTCCCATCGTCTGCCCTGAGTTACCCGACCGGCGTTAAAGGATCTTTAACCGATGAAAATGGTTACAACGCCAAAGACAACTATGAAGGGGAATCTAAACCACAACCATCTCAGCCAGACAGCCAAAGAGGTTATCTGTCTGGGCTGGGTTTCCCTTCAACTGCTTCTAAATATCCTTCTCCCACTATAGCTAGTTTTGTTCATCGTCCCGTTGGTTATCCTGTTGATATTTCTACTCCTGCCCCATTGTCTGCCCCTGGCTATCTCGTCCGGGTACCGCCTAGATTAAAGGGTGATACGGGATCTTCTCGACCAAAGTTCGAGGAAGTTACTGATTACCCGATTCTTGGTTAATTTTTAATATTTTAATTGATTTTTTATTTATGTATTTAATTTTTAACTTTTCGAGTTTTTTGACTGACTAAATAACTTTGTTATTATTATTGACAGTAATTTAAAGAAAAACTAATAAAACTCAAATTTTTCTTACGTCTATAAATAGTTCAAAAAGAGTCAGTATTTTTAAAATTTTATGTTGCATGGAAATTGCTAATAAAAAATTCAGTGAAAAAATCATATATATTTGGTTATTTTTTTAAAGTTTTATCAGACTTTGTAATATGGAAGTTTAAAGGCGGGTTCACACTACACCGTGTCGTGTAATATAATCACGGTTACCTCAGTTACCAAACGATACCGCATAGTTGAATATATTCAATTTTTGACCGTGTGGTTACATTAAGTATGAACCCGGCTTTATCTGCACATAAATGTAACCACACGGTCAAAAGTTGAATATATTCAACTATGCGGTATCGTTTGGTAACTGTGGTAACCGTGATTATTTTACACGACACGGTGTAGTGTGAACCCCCCTTTACTGTAATTAAGTACCAGTACCTGAACCAGAACCGTGTAAACCTGAAGACTGCTTCTATGCTACTGTTGAATACCTACTGTCTACGTTACTTTAAATATGATTATATTAATTATAAACTACCAGCTAACCCTGTACACTTAGTTCCTCATAAAATTCCAAATTTTGGGTGAATAATTCAAACATTTTTCAATTCATTATACTCGTAATATCAGATTAAAGGTGTTAAAAAAGAAAAAAAAAAGAAAACGTTTTTAAAATTTATAATAATTTTAAATCAGCGGACAGTAATAACTAATTAGTAACTATTTTTGATTACAAGTTTGCTTAATTATAAAAATAAATGAATATGTGGTTATGAATTATGATTTCAATCCGCTCGAGTAATAATATTAAAATCAAATATCTTATCAAGTACAGGTTAAAATTATTACCAGTCATAATCATAACAATTTTATTTTAGGTAACCACTGATAATTGTCATCTTTACATAATTAAATATATAAAACAAAATCGGTGTTTCCGAATTGCGTGCGAATATCATTATTTAGGATGAATTGCGTGCGCGATTTTCTTGCAACACAACCGAATTGCGTGCCGTGGTTATTTTAAAATTTATCAATTTATAGTGCATATTTTTGTTATAAGTTTATATTTTTACCCATTCTTATTTAAATAGAAAATTGTTAAACAACATAAATAGACTAAAAAAATTATAAATTAACAAATAATAAATTTTGTGTTAATACCTACATTAAAGTAATATAAAAAATTGTTAAACAACCTCAAAATATATAAGTTTCAAAACTTTTTAGAGTATAATAGATTAAAATCATAAACATACAAATAGTGTGTTGCAATACATTGAAATAATATAAAAAAAATGTTAAACAACGTCAGAAAAATATTAGTAAACAAATAAATATACAAATGATTTAAAAATATGAGTATAAAAATGTTATAAAAATATGAGTATAAAAATTAAAAATTAAATTGGCAAATTTTTTTATGCCAAAATTTCTACGAACTCCAAACGGGTTATAACTTGATCTTTATTCTTTATACTGACTCATAATTTCATGAATATAATTTTCTTTTTCCACTGTCATCCGTCATTTTTGTGTTTGATTTGAGCTACGCATTTTGATGTAAACGTCAGTTTGTACATTTTTTAAAACTTCTAAGAATTGAAAAATATTTGGATACGAAGAGCAGAACATAATATTGAGTTTCGAATGAAACGACTCACAAGCATTAGTAGTACGCATTAAACTATTAGAAAACTCCGCCCATATTGATGGTGGAAATTTACTGCTACTACTAATGTAATTTTTTTCAAAAAAGTCACAAAAAGCATTTAATTGCTGGTTATTTGGTTTTATAGTCATGAGATTGTTAATACTAGTCTTAATCATTAGGCCACGTCCGTTTGAAATTAAAAATACGCGTAGGTACGTCTAAAGTATGTAAGTACGTGCTAAACGTTCAACGCCGTGATTTTAGAAACAACGAAAAAAACTAAAACCACCCATGCCTTTAAATTAATAGTTAATTGTCAATGGCGATCTTAGTTCCAGGGTTTTTTAAAAAAAAATGCGATTTAATAATTATAGCGTATATAAACGTTTTTGACGCTTTAACCGGCCTATTGGAATAAACACTGTTGACGAGTATACACTTCAGTGGCGTTGAAAGTGTTTAGAGACGTCACGGCGACGCAGTGGCAGCGGGCTCATATTATTTTTAAACTGAATAATAATAATAATATTGTTGGTCTGTGAGGTTGAACCCGGGTTGATCGGGATAGTAAAAACGCTACTAAAACGTACGAACTAAAATCGAAAAATGTGACGTCGGAGTACCAGGAACTCATGAAGTAATTGTTACTTTTTTTCAGTTTCGGCGGCGGCAGCTCGGCGGCTGTTCCAACGACTCGCTGTTGTAGCTACTAGCTGAACGGCCATCACGATCAATCATAGCATACGTTCCTGTTACATCCTGTTACATTATAGAAAACATCAAGAACACTAATTACGATAGAAATTAATAATTTGTACACCAATATCACGGAAATCACCGAGGGAACAAATTTGTCATATAAATAAATACAAATAAAATTCAATAGGTAGACCATTGACTTATGATTATAGTATATAATCAATGTGTACTAATGTCAAATGTGTGCTTAAAATTTTGATTTGACGAACAACTGGATGATTGAAAAACTTGGATAACTAACAAATTCATACAGTTTTATATTCACTTATCATCTCTAGTTATTTATAATAATTATAAAATAGATGTATTAGTTTATTTAAATTGGAATTTAACTGTTTACAAATTACGATGAAAAACTATTTAGAGCGAATATTAGGTATGCTGACAAAATAATTTACGATTTTTACGAATTCCGTCCAGATTATAAAAATAAGTACGGGACACTTTTAAAAGTATCAACTAGATGCAATTGGTTTTTTGTAACTACCTTCGAAGTTGAAAATCGAATCTTTCTACTAGAGAAAATGTCTTGTTCAGACACAAAAAAATAAAATATATAAAAGTATAATATATTATTATCATTATGTCGCTCCACTCAGTATCAAATTGCGTGAAAATTTCTTGTGCACTAAAAAGAAAAAACCAACGAAACAAACACTACACAGGTATACTACCTCCGGGCCCCCACACATCAACATTTACAAAATTGTGCCTATGTATTTTTCAATTGCTATTGTAACAATATATCAGGAGCCTTCTATTAAATTTTTACACTTTTTAGCCCAACAGATAAAACTTTATTGATATTTATAGACAAAAAACTAAAAAAATTAAAACTGAAAATGTCCGTAAACAGCTCAAAAAGAGTCAAAATATTTTTAAAATTGTACAGTGTATAGGAAATGCTAATATAAACATTCAGTGAAATTTCCATGTATCTACACTATTCTACAGTTATTCGTTTTTGAATTACAACAAAATAAGGAAATCGCTACATGAGAAATTGAGTGAATATCCAATGTTGTAAAAATTTGAATTTCAAACGCTCATAAAAATTTAATTTGACTTTTCGGTAGAGATTTTTTTATTGATAAAGGTAGACAAACTTATGAGTAATCTTGTATTACATTTTCAAATCTTAGATTTAAAAATAAAAATGTTTACGAATTCTTAACTCAAAATAATTTGATAATTTTCGTGATTTTTCCATATTTTGTCAATTTTTGAACTTTAAATGCTTATAAAAAAAAATGTTGACTAAGGATTTTTAATATTTTTCATCTGCTTTGAAACAATATATTAGGAGCCTTCTATTAAATTTTCAAGCTTTCGCAACCAACAAATTTTTATTGATATTTTTAGAAAAAAATCTAAAAAAAAATGGAAAATGAAAATGTCCCTAAACAGTTCAAAATAAATCAAAATATTTTAAAAATGTTATCGTGTATAGAAAATGCAAATATAAACAACCAGTGAAAATTTCATGTATATATACGTTCATTTGTTTTAGAGTTACACATTTTTCCTTCATTTTTTTTTTGTTTTACTCGGTGCTTTTGATAACTACTGGGAACTTTAAATCCTATTTTTGACCTTCCAAAGTACCAAACTAGATTCCAACTTTCCACTGGAGAAGATACTCAAGTTGAAAATCGAAACATTATTTCTACTAGGTACCTATGTATCGTGTACACTGACACAAAAAAAAACACATCATTGTAAAATAAATACATTCATCGCTCCACTCAGAATCTGAAATGTCGAGTTACATTGTGAATTTCAAAATCCTTATAGGTACGTAACTGTGTTAACACCTCTTTAAAATTTTGGAAAATCCTTTCTGAGTGCACCACTACATGATTACTGCCAAAATTTCAAGTCTGTACCTATCATAGTTTAGGCTCAAGAAGTCAAGACTCTTACTTTGATCACTGAACGGAGACAGTTTGTTAGTCTGGATATTTTATATCGTTATTATATTTTATTATATAGCCTGTATGTTGAATTAATATAATAAATTACAACAAAATAACTAAAATCGTAATTTATATTTTTATTCATTTCTATCGTGATAAACAAAGCGTTAGAAATTAAAATCCCTTTTTAAGCGGTATTTTTTAATTTGTAGGTGGTGTTTCCTGTGGAATAAAATAACTATTGAGGAAATCGAAAAATGACCTCTCTAAAGTACCATCTTAATCAAATTTGCTAAACCAGCGGTCTCCAACCTTTTTTTACGGCGGGCCAAATTTGATATACGCTTTGGCCAACATTTTTAGAAATGTGTTGTCTAAAAAATAAATAACACTAAACTGCAATAATTATAAAAACCGATTCTATATTATATACTCGATACATCACAGTAGATTTGAGCTGTTAAAAAAACCCGTCGATTATACGTTCGATAGCGTTATTATTACAACAGAAAAAGTCGATCGTATCTTATCTGACCATCGCGTAATTTTCGATTACAATATAAGTCAGATAAGTGTGATTGACGAGTTTATCTATTATTAGTTAGTGTTAGTATATATGTATAACTATTATAAGTTGTTATGAATAATACCAAAAGAAAATATTATAAATTTATTTTAATTTATTAATCAATTCAATAAAAAATAAACTAAAAACAATGAAAATTAATATATTATTTTCAAAACATTAATTAGCTTGGCGCGGTGCAAAAAGCTTGGAGGGCCGGACCCGGCCCGCGGGCCATAGGTTGGAGACCCCTGTGATAAACGATAAGATACTATATTATGTTTAAATCGTAGCACTTCTTCTGGTAGATTTGTTGTATAGAGGATAAAAAAAAAAATAAACATAATTGTAAAACCACTAGCTTCCTCGCTCGGCTGAATCTAAAATGAATTATGATTTATGTGTGGGTATCTATTGTGTGTTTACTGTTTTATTGTAGGTACCTATGTTGCTTATAGAAAAGTTATAATGTTGTATTATAAGGAAATAAGGAAAAATGCATGGCGAATCAGAGGGCACAATTTGTTTTCATAAAATAGTGAAGATGTATTGACTCATATATTATGGTAGGTAACGAAAAATAAAATAAAGTTACTTTATTCTATATTATATAGTAATATAGTATATTATGTACAACTAAGACTTATGAGCATGTAATTAGGTGCCTAATAAACATACATTTTCAAAAATATCATTGAACAATGTTCAACACTGTCATTCACATCATAAAAAGTACCGATTCAATGTATAAGTATTGTTTATATTGTGCCAAATAGTACCATTATAGTACCTACAAATTACCAAGGCTGGGCACTAACGAGTTAAAAGTTAAAATAAAGTTAAAACGTTAAGTTAATTTTAATTAAGTTAATTAACTCGTTACTTTTTTTACAAATTAACTTTTAACTTTATAAGTTTAAAGTTACTTTTTTTTAAGATTAACTTGTTAACCTTAAGTTAATTTTATTTAAAAGTATCTAAATTAAGTTAATTTTAGTGCAAAGAATAATGCAAATTATTAAGGAGGTTTTTAGTATATTTATAATTTACTATTTTAATATAAATTTCCTGTAGACGAAAATAATATGAAAAATAACTTTAATAGTCATTATATGGGCTATATTATATTATATACCTACACGTTTATCATTATATAATATATTATTTATGTGAATCAATTAAAAATATTGGTATCTTAGCAGTTGGGAGAAAACTATTAAGCTGCTTTTTTTTTTTTTTTTTTTGGATGTACCACTTGAGTAAATTGTGTTATGTATCATTTTAAAAAATTTCCTTAGTAAATTTCTTGAGTGTAAAAAAACTAATATTATGTGTGCAATTTTTTATTTTTGCAAATTAGAAAATTTTAACTTTAAACTAAGTTAAGCTACTTTTTTTTCAAAGTTCACTTTTAACTTAATGAGTTAACGAAAAAATATGATTAACTTTTAATTTAACTCAACTATATTATTTTAAAATAACTTAACTTAACGAGTTAAAAAAATCGTTAACTTGCCCAGCCTTGCAAATTACAATATATTTTAATAAATATTAATAAATATAATATATATACATTTAGAAGTTATTTTATTTCACTTTGAAACAGTATTATACACACATACAAATATAAAGTATAGACAGTAGTTGATTTAAATTCAAACTACAATGTTCAATATCTATTACTTAAATCAACTGCATAGTTATTCAGCCACAATAATACGCTGGCCCAACGCATAGAGTATATTATATCTGGTAGACATTATGAATAAAGGGTAAAAAAAATAAAATAAAATAAATACCATTGTAAAACCACTAGATCCCTCGCTCCACTCAGAATCTAAAATATTAAATTGAAACTCGTTGGGCTTATGCTGGTTATTTAGCATTTCCATTGAAATGTGCACATAATTGTGCCTAATAATAAGTTAATTACGAATAAATAAAGTTTGGCAATAATGAACATATTTATCAGGTCATCCATGAATGTTGGCTATCAACGGTCACGAATCGCAAGAAAAACTATTAATTTTTAATGACGAACGAAAATCCATGTTATTTCGACGAAATTCAGTCGACAAGGTTTTATCGTGCATAATTTGAACAAATATCTCGTACCTAAATTTGGAGAATAATAATTATAATGTTATCACATTCGGGTTGCATCATTTGCAGGGTGTTTAGAGCCGAAATTCGAAATTATAATTATAATTAATATTATTATATTATCGTTTATCGATGTTCACATCGGGAGCCTAAAGATGTACAATTATTAAACATTTATAATAATTTAGCCTGTGTAGATGAACTAACTCAATGCAATATCGGTCTTTTTTTTCTGTTACAACCTACATTTTACATCGTTTGCTAATTTCAGTTGTACTCCGTCGGCGACTATATAAGACGTCCAGCAGCAATCAAAGTAAATCATTTGCGATAGTGAAAAATACCAACTCCATTGCTGTTTATAAATATTCCAGTGTTCGTATATCTACTTCGTGTAAATACTGAACACATACGCTTCACACTTTAATATTATCCACCGGACCACCATGAGCCAACCACAGGTAAGAGAAAAACATAACAATATTATATACACAATATACTACACAACTCGAATATTAATTTTAAAGCACTTTAAAGCGTCTTACACATCGGATAAAATTCTATTAAACGAATCGTTACTCGTTTGCATACCTGTCCTAATAATAATATTTTATTCTCGAAATTTAATGTTAAATACTCAAAATTATATGTTAGCAAACCGTTGAAAGGTTCCAACACGTGTATTGTTATAATTATTATTATTATTATTATTAGAACTATTATTAATTATTTATTTTTTTATTTCTTCACAATTAAATGTAACCAAACAATTCATTCGTTGTTAGATTTTATTTTTCACATTACATTAATTGAAAACAAGATAGATCTGAAATGTCCCCAAGTTTATAATTTATTGAATGACCATTTTCATTTTTAATTATTATTATTTTTATTTTTATTTGAAATGCTATTTTTTAAAATTATAATCAATCCAAATGATCTTGAAGTACCTAACGGAACTACCTAATTTGTATTATTTAAAATATAATAATAATTTAATAATTAAATATTATATAAATAATTGTTTAATTTACAACTTTTTATTTATTGAATACAAAAATAGTTAAAAGTATACGTCATTATCCACAGAATACATACAATATTATCCATTAAATTAATATGTATAGAAACTATTGTACGATTAAATTTGTCCATAATAGTTTTTATAGTGAACGTTTCCCATTGCTAATGAAAATTTCAAAACTGCAATTCATAAGAACGTATCTTTTTTTTATTAAAGACACTTGGCAGTTTTACTGCAACCTATTTTATACCTACAAATTTCGAATACAGTTAATCTAACTTAATATCATATAGTATATCAATAAGACTTTGATAATTTTAATCTATAATATCCTTCCTACTATCATATGGATGAAATATTACCTAAATAAATATTTTTTCTATTGAACAAATAATTCATCACCAGTTGATACCGCTTACTTGTTTATACATTGATTTATATGTGTATTATTGTGTAACCGTGTAGGTACTTCAATAGGTACCTACTTGTGTATAGTTGTGTGTACTTTAGTACTTATGTAATACATTCACATGGTCTTAAAGGTATCACTTTAATAGTTTAATTTAAGTTTGGAATTATTTTAATATATTATTAGTCACTAAAAATATATTAATAAGAAAAATATTATAATATTAAGTATTATTCATTAATAATAATGAATTAATAATCATGGTAAAAAGTTTAAGTATTTTTTTTTTGTCAATATTAAAAAAAATATGCAAACAAAACAACGCTCAATATTTAAAACGAATATTTTGATAATTATGTGTATAAGATATTAAAATGCACACAAATATTCTTCAATACCATAATATTATAATGGTAATTAATAAACATTATTATAATATATTTAGTTAATAAATTAAATAATATTTTATAAACTCTTAGTATTATATTTTAAATGTTGATCTTATTTTTCTGTTCGATTATTATACATTTCAATGGTGTGATAAAATCATAATTTTACTAAAAACAATAGTTATATTTTCCTATCTTTTGAAAACAAATAAAATAGTTATAATGCAAAAACATTTTAGTTTTATACACAATGTACAATATCCAGTACCTACCTATGTTAAATGTTGTAACTTTAGTCTACAATAATAAGTTCAATACTTGAATGCATAAGAAATTAATATGACACTGTTAATTTAAAGTTGTAAAAAAGTTGTAACATAAAAATAGCATAGGTATAATATGCGGTATTATCCCTAGTAGCATTTTGTAATGATAATATTATATTATTATTATAATAATGTTATAAAACTATTTTTAAACAAAAAATTGCTACCTGGGAGGTATCCGACTATCCATACACATAAAAATCATTAGTTGTTTTAACTCAAAATGTAGTTAATGTCCTATGTCCAATACATATACATTTGAGTGTTAATTTTGACTTGGAAGTTGGAACTCGATAAGTGTTAATTTTACTACTATTGAACATAATTAAAATTACTAAAAATAGATTGTTAGGACAAATACATTATAATGCTATACTAAGATATCATAACCTAGTGAGAATAACTTACATAATGTTGTAAATTGAGTTTTTAAATTAGGTACCTATAGTTACTTTATAGTTTAAACAACCCGAAAACATTGTTAAAAATTGTGACTTTAAAATGCTTTTTAATTGAGATTTTGTCGTAGTTAAAATAACCCCAAGATATGGAACAATGGTGATTGTAAAAGACCTAACATTATAATTCTTATTATTTTTTTGGGGGAGGGGGGGGTCAAATGGTATTTATTTTTTTCTTAACTTTTTAAACTAAGAGTTAGAAGTTTAGAATTTCCCCACAAACATGCTCCCAATTATGATTAGTATAAATATTCGTGAATACTTTTTTTAGGATAAAGAAAAGAACGATAAAAATAACACTCCGGATGGTAAAATTTAACACTATTTTGGAGTAAAAACAACAACAAAATTAGTTCAAAATTAATCAAACTTATGTTTTAAAACAACATTCTCTATTTTTTCAATTCAACTACCGGTATTATATTAATTAAATATCTACAACATCCTAAATTCAACTAATTTTGGGTATTATTATGAATTATTATCATTTTACAACACTTTGCGATGGGTCAGCGTATTATTGTGGCTGATATAAATTACTAATGCAGTTGATTTAAGTAATATATATTGAACATTGTAGTTTGAATTTAAATCAACTACTGTCTATACTTTATATTTTTATGTGTGCATAATACTGTTTCAAAGTGAAATAAAATAACTTTTTAATACATATATTATATTTATGAGTATTTATTAAAATATATTGTAATTTGTAGGTACTATAATGGTACTATTTGGCACAATATAAACAATACTTATAAATTGAATCGGTACTTTTTATGATGTGAAATGAGAGTGCTGAACATGGTTCAATGATTATTTGAAAATGTATGTTTATTAGACACCTAAATACATGTGTCTACCTACCTAATTGTCATTAGTATTCTTAAAACTAAAATGTATTTTGGAAGTTCCACAACACATCAATAACTTTTAATACAGTATCACTAGTAAGAGTGTCGATTGATATGACATATAGATATTTTCATTGATAACCTACTCAATGATAATATGTACACCTACCTATATATTTGTATAATTTCAAAACTAAATTCAGCTCTTTCATAACAATTAATCATATTTCGTATTTTTAGGCCATTCTCGTTCTATTGTCGAGTGTATTTTTAACATCATTCGTCTGTGCCCAATATGGTAGACCTGCTGGCAATATCAATCCTGGATACGGTGGTACAGGTACCAGTGTACAATCAGGATATTATGGATACAAAGGCCAATATCCTGGCAGTACAGGTACCAATTCACCATCAGGATATTATGGACCCAAAGGCCAATATCCTGTCGGAGGACCTGGTGGATCAGATGGAAATTCAGAAGTAAGTTCTATGTGTATGTGCACATTGTATTTTATTACCAACCATATTTTCACAACATCAAGTCAGTACCATTGGTATAAGTGTATAACTAATCTTAATTTTGCATAATGTCAATATATTTCATATCAAAATACAGCCGACACTTGGTAACTCGGATCTTGATAACTGTGACTTATCAATATCTTGAACAAATAAAATTCCCCTTTAAATAATAAAAATAATTTAAGATTTCGATAACTAGACTCGACATTTTTAGTAATTTTAATTTTACTTTTTTCCCCGTTAACTTCGAGTTACCGATAGTACCTACACTGTGTCAGTATATTAATATTTACCCACGTCAATATTGCCATTGTTGTAGTAAATTAGTTAACTACCTCTTAATACAATGGTGTCAGCCATCAGCTAAGGTATTTTCGGATTACCTATAATATACAAATTATAGATAGGAATATTCACAATAGAATTAATTACACCTTGGTATAATTATTATGTAGTTTTTAAATAGAATTCACTAAACATTTTTGATTACCATAAGTCATTGAACATAATAAGTTCCCACATAAGGATTCTGTTTCCCCCTTTCCTTAAAATGCATCATTTATTGAAATTAGTTTAAAATCTTCAATATTTAGCAATAAACTGTAAATTAAACAATTGTACACTAAGTATTTATTACAAGTCCATAGTAATTAGTAATTATTATTACTTATTCATTATTGCATAAAAAAAATATTTTTTTTATTTCTGTTTTTTATAGTATTTTGTAATGCTGTACAATATGTAGGCAAATGTACGACGTAGATGTATACAAACCTAATATTTTGTTGGTTGCAAAATAGGACGTTATAAATTAGGATATTATGACTTAGTACCTGCCTATTACTATACCTTAACTTAATTATAAGAAAATCCACATAAATTAATACAAACAATAAATAGTGTGGTAATTACGTATGAATTAGTTTTAAGTTTTAATTCTGAATTTGTTAAACAGCGGTGGTGTCGGGACTTACTAATCTAGTTAAAATTTAAAATTGTATAATACTATTGTAAACGCATATACTTATGTATATAAGTAACTGACAAAGTGCCTTTATTGGAAGGCTTCTTTAATCTGCCTTTTCAAGCCATAAATTCATCTACCAAATGTACTTATTGTTCTAGCTATAGTAACAGATTGTAAAAAAAAAAAATTTCTGAATTTAGATACTGCCCATACAGTTTTAAATAGTTTTAAATAATACACTAATACAGTAATACCTACATAGATTATAAGGCAATAGGTATAGGCTTTACCTATAATAGGTTAATAATTGACATTAGAACCTACCTAGAATATAATAGAGTTATTACTTATTAGTTTATATTATTATTTACATTGACTGAACAATATTTTTGACTGATTTAATGTAGCCCGAGCCGTTCAACTTTGCTTACCAAGTAAAAGATGCACCCACAAATACATACTTCAAGCACGAAGCCAACAGTGACGGCAAACGAGTGACCGGAGCGTACAGCGTACTTCTTCCTGACGGTCGTAATCAAGTAGTGACATATGTAGCCGACGAAAGTGGTTACAACGCCAAGGTCAACTACGAAGGGGAAGCTAAACCACAACTAGCTCAACCAGGCAGCCTAGGAGGTTATCCTTCCACACCGGGTTTCCTTTCTACTGCTCCTAAATATCCCCCTGCCCCAATACGTGGTTCTGCTCCTGCCCCTGGTTATCCTTCTTCTGCTCCTGCCTTTGGTTCTCCTGCTTCAGCTCCAGCCAGTGGCCCATCGTCTGCCCCAAGTCTTGTAAAGTACTAGTTAAAGTATTCAAATAATTTTTAAGTACTTAAATACGTATTCTAAATACATTTGAAAAAAGTACTCTGGCACAATATTTCAATTATTTAAATATTATTATTCTATTACTATTAATACTATAAATGTATTATTTAAATACTATTTTTAAATACTTTTTTGGTTATACTTTATTTACAGGGATGCCAAATTTTTAATTAAATTATACAAATTCGAAATTGTACAACATTTTTATTTATAGATCGTGCATCATAGTATTTTAGTATATTGTAATTTTTTAGTGGTATATAATACTAGGTACCAATTTAATTGAATGTATACAGTCCGTCAATTTCCTAATATAATTGGAAATACCTTTACTTGAATTATGTATGTTTAAAACATAACGATAGTCGATAGTTAATATATATTACATTTATAAATACATTATACACTCAACCCACATTCGGTTATTATTATTACTATTAATATTATTTATTCCTGATAATCCGTCCTTGTATTATCTCAGAATATGATTGAATAACATTTTACGTTTGTTACCGTGTTACAAACCTGTAGTTATACCGTCTTACAATGTCCGCTAAAGTGTCGGTTAACGCTAACCGACTGATAACAGATTTTATTACCTGCAGAATTTGGCAGATCAGCCAGTTAAGTATCGGGTAACTTTAACCGGACATTGTAAGAACTAAGAACGGCCTTTACTAAACTATGGAGTGTGTACTAGTTATAACTTAAAACCATCAAGCATCAATACGTCATTTGTATCTTGCTTTATTAAATTTTTTAATATTTAAAACTAGATAGTGCTAAAATAAAAAAGGTGGGTAAGTGGATGTCGCTCTGCTGTACTGTAGGTTACAAGTGGGTCACTGTATAATGGATGGTATTAAATTTGAATTCAATGATACAATATCATTGTATAAGAAAAACGATTCTGAGCGAAGACGGTATGTCAGTCTAGGTTTAAGACAAATTATATACATATCTATGGTATTAAAAAAAAAATTGACCTATAATAAATTCCAAATTAATCATATCACATTATCACAATATCCATTAGGTACTTATAACACGTTATACATCAAGATCAATTACAAACCCTGATACTATCATTGATATATAATAGTACACTTTAGAAGTTTCAAGTAGGTACCCACGAATAATATTATATAATCACAACAAAATAACTAGGTTTTTTAATATGTAATTTCGTCCAAATTTGAACATAAAATGACTATAAAAATAAACTGTGATTGTATATTTTTTAGATTTTTCGGTAAGAGAATTAACTACTTACGTAGAATCTTGTTTTAAATTTTCAATCCTTAGCTATAAAAACTGAACATTTTAGAATTTATTAATTACGATGATTAATAATTTTCGAGATTTTGAAAAATTCTGTCAAAATTCGATCTTTAAATGCTTATAAAAAAAAACTGTGCCTATGTATTTTTAATATTTTTCAACTGCTATTGTAACAATATATCAGGAGCCTTGTATTAAATTTTTACACTTTTTGGCCCAACAGATAAAACTTTATTGATATTTGTAGAAAAAAAAACTAAAAAAAATTGAAAGCTGTAAATGTCCATAAACAGCTCAAAAAGAGTCAAAATATTTTCAAAATTGTATGGTGTATAGAAAATGCTAATTTAAACATTCAGTGAAATTTTCATGTATCTACAGTTGTTCGTTTTTGAATTGCAACAAAATAAGGAAATCGCTACATGAGTAATCGAGTGAAAATCCAATGTTGTAAAAATTTGAATTTCAAACGCTCATAAAAATTTAATTTGACTGTCCGGTAGAGATTTTTTTATTGATAAAGGTAGATAATCTTATAAGGAATCTTGTGTTTCATTTTCAAATCTTAGATTTAAAAAGAAAAATTTTTACGAATTCTTAACTCAAAATAATTTGCTAATTTTCGTGATTTTTCCATATTTTGTCAATTTTTGAACTTTAAATGCTTATAAAAAAAAATTGTGACTAAGGATTTTTAATATTTTTCATCTGCCTTTGAAACAACATATTAGGAGCCTTCTATTAAATTTTCAAGCTTTCGCAACCAACAAATACAATTTTATTGATATTTTTAGAAAAAAAACTAAAAAAAAATGGAAAATGAAAATGTCCCTAAACAGTTCAAAATAAATCAAAATATTTTGAAAATTTTATCGTGTATAGAAAATGCAAATATAAACAACCAGTGAAAATTTCATGTATCTACGGTCATTTGTTTTAAAGTTACACCAAAAACCAAATTCGATTTTGTCAAAAACTGATTTTGCGTAAAAATTCCCGTTTTTCCTTAATTTTTATGTTGTTTTTTCCCGGCGCTTGTGAAAACTATTGGGAATTTTAAATTTTGACCTCCCCAATGCACCAACGATATTCACTTTCCAATCGAACAAGATACTGAAGTCAAAAATCGAAGCATTATTTCGACTACTTATCGTGTACACAGACACAAAATAAAAAAATAAAAAATAAAAAAATAAAAAAATAAAAAAAAAAAGGTTTGTAAGTGGATGTCGCTCTGCTGTACAGTAGGTTACAAGTGGGTCACTGTATAATGGATGCTTTTAAATTTGAATTCAATGATACAATATCATTGTATAAGAAAAACGATTCTGAGCGAAGACGGTATGTTAGTCTAGGTTTAAGACAAATTATATACATATCTATGGTATTAAAAAAAAATTGACCTAAAATAAATTCCAAATTAATCATATCACAATATCCATTAGGTACTTATAACACGTTATACACCAACAACAAACCCTGATACTATCATATATATATAATAGTACACTTTAGAAGTTTCAAGTAGGTACCCATGAATAATATTATATAATCACAACAAAATAACTAGGTTTTTTAATATGTAATTTCGTCCAAATTTGAACATAAAATGACTATAAAAGTAAACTGTGATTGTATATTTTTTAGATTTTTCGGTAAGAGAATTAACTACTTACGTGGAATCTTGTTTTAAATTTTCAAACCTTAGCTATAAAAACTGAACATTTTATAATTTATTAATTACGATGATTAATAATTTTCGAGATTTTGAAAAATTCTATCAAAATTCGATGTTAAAATGCTTATAAAAAAAAATTGTGCCTATGTATTTTTAATATTTTTCAACTGATATTGTAACAATATATCAGGAGCCTTGTATTAAATTTTTACACTTTTTGGCCCAACAGATAAAACTTAATTGATATTTATAGAAAAAAAAAACTAAAAAAATTGAAAACTGAAAATGTCCGTAAACGGCTCAAAAAGTGTCAAAATATTTTCAAAATTGTAGGGTGTATAGGAAATGCTAATACAAACATTCAGTGAAATTTTCATGTATCTACAGTAATTTGTTTTTTAATTACAACAAAAAAAGGAAATTGCCACATGAGAAATCGAGTGAATATCCAATGTTGTAAAAATTTGAATTTCAAACGCTCATAAAAATTTAATTTGACTTTCCGGTAGAAATTTTTTTATTGATAAAGGTAGACAATCTTATGAGTAATCTTGTATTAGATTTTCAAATCTTAGATTTAAAAAGAAAAATTTTTACGAATTCTTAACTCAAAATAATTTGCTAATTTTCGTGATTTTTCCATATTTTGTCAATTTTTGAACTTTAAATGCTTATAAAAAAAAATTGTGACTAAGGATTTTTAATATTTTTCATCTGCCTTTGAAACAACATATAAGGAGCCTTCTATTAAATTTTCAAGCTTTCGCAACCAACAAATAAAATTTTATTGAAATTTTTAGAAAAAAAACTAAAAAAAAATGGAAAATGAAAATGTCCCTAAACAGTTCAAAATAAATCAAAATATTTTGAAAATGATATCGTGTATAGAAAATGCAAATATAAACAACCAGTGAAAATTTCATGTATATACGTTCATTTGTTTTAGAGTTACACCAATAACCAAAATCGATTTTTTGGAAAATCAATTTTGCGTAAAAATTCCTGTTTTTCCTTAATTTTTATGTTGTTTTTCCCGGCGCTTGTGAAAACTACTGGGAAATTTAAATTTTGACCTCCCCAATGCACCAACGATATTCACTTTCCAATCGAACAAGATACTGAAGTCGAAAATCGAAGCATTATTTCGACTACTTATCGTGTACACAGATACAAAAAAAATAAAAAAATAAAAAAAAATAAAAAAAAAAACACACATCATTGTAAAATCAATACATTCATCGTTTCACTCAGAATCTAAAAAAAACACACATCATTGTAAAATCAATACATTCATCGTTTCACTCAGAATCTAAAATTAGTCAGTTCACTAATGATTTAATTTATCTATAAAGGCATTAGGCCAAGGTAAAGAACACATACAAAAAAAAAAAATTGAAAGTAATGGAAAAGTATGGATAGCATTTGTTTAATTGATTAATTTTTAATATTTTGAGCCATTATTTAATTATGTATTTAATTTTTAATTTTAAAAGTTTTTTGACTGACAAAATAATCTTATATCGACAATAGTTAAAAAAAAAAAAAAAATAAAACTTGAAATTTTCTTACGCCTATAAATAGCTCAAAAGGTGTCGTAATATTTTGAACATATTGCTAATTCAAAAAATTCAGTGACAAATCCATTTATGTTCTGTTATTTTTTTAGAGTTACAGAAAAAGACAAAATCGGGTTTAACTAAAAAACTCAGTTTTTTCTTAATTGTTATCCCACAAAGTACAACTAGATTCACTTTCCTACCAGAAAAGATGCTGCTGAAGAATATTGAAACATTTTTACTGTTCAAAAAGGCGATAACGAAACACACAAAATAAAATAACATCATTGTAAAATTGAATACATTCATCGCTCCTCTCAGAATCTAAAAATGAATCCGTACAAATTAATAATTTGAATTGCATTCAGTTATCGAATAAATAAAAGCTCTACAACATACATACATTTCTTCTATAGGTTATGTTAGATTAACCTTTCGAAAAACCCGAACTGGTACATGGA